TTGGCTTTCGTGATTGCACTAGGCATCAAGATCAGAAATTTGATTATTTATTAATTTCTAACCTGTCCAGTAACTAATGCTTCCTGGGTGGCTCACAGTTAAAAAATAAAAATGTCAGAAAAGTTAAAATATAAAACACAATGCAAATATATAAAAGGATAAAATACGATATAATGCATAGCAACAAACAACCCAGGAATCGATAAAACAAGCATAATATAGAACAAAGTCTTCAAAAACTAAATGAACTAAATTCTCAAAAACCTATATTTGAAACTAGATCACATTCTGCATGTTGTCTGTGCTTCCACAGAACTAGAACACATATTGGGAATTTGGTATAGGAGGACAGATTGTGATAATAACTTAGTCCTTCATTGTCTTGCCTGTACAACTAAGCAGGGAAAAAGTTAAAAATTAATTTCACCCCACTGAACATCCAATTCCTTAACTAAAGTCATTTTAATCCTGGCAGAGGACATGGGTGTTTGAGCATCTGGGGAAACAAATATATCATTTTTATAAATTCTATTTTTACATTCACAGCTTAGACACTGCCAAAAGAGGTTGATTAAAAATGGCAGATACATATTTGAATTATGATCTATTTATGAATTTAGAAACATTGCAAGGAATGATCTATACCTTTCTAGTGTCTGCCCAGAGGGCAAGTGAGTGAAAGTAGAAATCATTTTAGAGAAGAAGGAAAATAATTACTCTCAGAATAGATTTAATTGCTGTGATGTCTTTATAGCAAATGAGAATTACAGTCTTAATTATGATTACTGTGGTGTCAGAAAGAAGTCCCAGCACACCATAAAAACTGAGGTTCTTTCACCAATGCTGCTTATGTAATATGTCATGATGACAATAGTCAGCTATTAAAATTAAATGAGAAAAGAGACACTGGATTCACTGGGTTTTAATAGGTCATGAGGCTGAGTAGCTCTATCAGCAGGGTTATACTGAAATTAAAAATCAATACTGTTAACAAATTTATGCATATTGCTGAGTTGGTCATGGCGAAGGTTGCCTTTAATTCATCAGCTTTTCCAGTGTGGTGTTATAAAATTGAAATACTGCTGAACATGCATTTCCTGTGGATAACCTTTGTGTGCCTGGAGGGATCACGTAGGTTACAGTGGAGAGCAGCAACCTGAGGCCCTCAACTGAGTCCAGCCCCTCAACCCACATTGTCCAGTTCTATAGCAACAATCCAGAGGCAAAACAGACCCATAGAAAGAGGGTGTTCCATTGCCATGTGATGTGCTAACAAGACACCTCAGTGGTGGGAGCTTTTCACAGGCGAGTCTTGCAATAATTTCTCTCCTTCTTTTGGTTACTTGCCCCACAGTATGATGAAATCAAATCAAATAGATGCAGGGTGAAGAGTTGCATTTTTTTAAAATGTTGATTGCTGGATTTTCTGTGCTCAGATCTGGATTCTGCCACCTGAACTGTTCTATTTTAGGTTTCTGGCTAGTTAGGTTTGTATCTATGTCAATCTTAAAGGAAATCTGCTCTTTAGAAGGCCAGATACTGAAGGTAAAACTCAAATACTTTGGCCACAATGAGAAAGAACAGCTCATTGGAGAAGATCCTGATGCTGGGAACAATTAAGAAGGGGACGGCAGAGGATGAGGTGGCTAGATGGAGACACTGGGGCAGAGGGTGTGAGCTTGGGCAGACTCCGAGGGATGGTGGAGGACAAGAGTGCCTGGAGGAATGTAGTCTATGGGTTCATGATGGGTTGGGCACGACTTTGGGACTAAGAACAACAAATGTCAAATAAAACATTGCAGGGAAAGCTATGAAAGGGCTTAATTAAAGCAACCTTCCCCAACATTGCCCAGATATGTTGGATTACAATTCCCATCATCCCAGGTGACTGGGAAATATGTCCTGTACATAGTCCAATAGATCCGGGTGGCAGTAGATTGAGAAAGACTGCTATAAGGTAATAGTGTTGAGATTTCCTACCTTCAGGGAACTCTTCCCACATCGAAGATTACTATGCCGATACCACCACCTGCTAGCGTATCACTGAAATTTTGGGGCAATAGCCTAGGGTGCAAAGCCTATTCAGGTGCAACATTGCTCAATCCTGCCTGTTGGGACTCAAACTTGTCCTGCATGAACTGGGAGCGCACTCCGGAGCACATCCCATGTGGGCGTATATTTCATGGAAAATTTGGCAGGGATGATTAAACTATCTTTAAGGGAAGCTTGTCTGCTATCACTGAAGTTTTCATGGAAAAAACTCCTATTAAGCTTCCAATGAACCCCAGTATTCCCCAGAACACAATTTGAAATTCACTGATGTAAGAACAGAAAACTGGAATGGGAAAAATAGTGCATTTACAAGGACAGAAGGTAACCACATAGGAATGAGACGCTCACTTAATCGTTTGCTTTATTCATCTCAGTCCCAATTTCCTGTACAAAATACATTCAAGGCAGCTTGCAATAAATAAAACAAACAATACTTATTAAACTGAATATTAAAAGCAAACAAGCACCGAAATAAAAACAAAGATTTAATAGAAACAATTGGATTACACGTGTCTCTAAGTTCAGTGGAGGAATGTTGCCTTTTTTGCCTTTCTGAAAGGGAGCGGCAATGGGGCCAAATATGCCATCCTGTGGAGACTGTTGCATAAATTGAATACCACAGTCGAAGGAGACCCTGTCCTACATGACATCTACCACACTTCCAACAAGCAGGTGAGGAGATCATGAAGGAGAACCTCAGCAGAACAAGGAAGTTCACGGAGAACTTAGTACAGGATGAAGCTCTTCTGATGATAGCATCTGTCCATGGAAGAAGCGCTAGTATATCATAGAATCATAGAATAGTACAGTTGGAAGGGGCCATGAAGGCCATCAAGTCCAACCCCCTGCTGGTGCAGGACACCACGTTGGACTGAAGCAGTGTGCACAGACCAAGGAAACAGCAGAACAACAGAAATGCGGCAACTAGGAGGGACTGTGTGTGTTACAAGGCCTCTGCTGGGACTGTTGGGAAAATCAAATAAAAGGATGATATTAGTGTTTATTAAGCTGCTGTGACCTGGAGAATAAGGCTAAAGGACAAGTGGAATTTTTCATATTCATCGCTGAGCAACAAAGAAATGAAGAGGGAAGGGAAGATACAACTACAGTATTATCTCAATTATCTCAAGTGTTATAGCTTCTTAAATTAAGATCAGTCTTCCCTCCCTTGCTTCAGAAGTAAGTTCACAAATACCAAAGTTATTGCTGGGTGTGAAGGAAAAACAAAAGGAAAGGAGAAGCATATTGGTGCCAAGTGCAGCATCTTGCTCCCTGTGTAAGCGTATATTCTTGTGCCATCCAAACATTATCTTGGCCTCTGCAGATAATAGACTGCAATCTTATGTGTAAATCCCAGTGTCTTCATTTGTATGTTTTTCTAGTGTGTCTAGGATTGCACATTTACGTACAACAGATTTCAACATGCCAGATTCAGCCATGCTGAGAGTTATGGGACCTTTTTCTGCCTAAGGATTTTACCTTAAGTGTTGAATTTCTAATTAACACCCTTCCCTGTGTCTCTTTTTATGACCCATATAATTATAAATATTAGTTCATTACAAGTGGTGCATATTCCATCAATTCATTCAATAAATTAGTTTAGGCAGGACTTTTTCCATTCCAAAAAAGTTAATTCTGAAACACCCTTCATACATTTCACTTTAGGCAAACAGAAAGCAAAAAAGGAAACCTCCTGGCTGCGGTGTGGGCCGGTTGACCTCTTGCTTCATCTTCTTGGGATAACTGACAATGGAAAAACCTGCCAGTCTTCTACCTTCCCCTCCCTGCTTTTGAAAATTAAATCAAATTAATTGCATTTCCAGTCCCTCAGAAGGTCAGAACTGCAAATGCAGTGCACCTAGAGCATTGCCGGAGAGTGACTTGTGGCACCCTGCGCGAGTGTTTGATGACTGAACAACGCTGGGATGAAATCTGGTGCATTTGCCGTACATTTGCCAACTTCTGGGGGAAATGCCAAATACGCGCACGGTGGTGGTGGTGGGGAGTTGATCTGCTTTGCAGGCCTTTTAAAGCCAGAATTATAAACTGCTGTTTAATGATATATTTGCTTGAAAAGCGGGGGTGAGAAGATGAGGGAGGCAAGCCCCCTCCCAGTTCATCTTTGGCTGCCAGTCCGCTTGGCACCCCAAATTTCCCGACTGTACAAAGTCAAGGAGCTCAACTTAAGCTATACACATTTTCCCGAAATGTACTTCAGTGCAGAGGCGCATCTGGCGGCTCCGTTGCGCGACCAGCGCGCAAGGCAGCGAGAAACTCCCTGCCCTCGTCGGCGCCGCGCAAAGCGAGCGCCCATCGCTGCGCAACAGATGCCACGAGGTTTGGCGCGCCGCCCGCCGCGGCAGCAACTTTCCCGCCGGCCCCGCTTGGCCAGACGGCGCCCGTGGGGGGCCTTTCCGGCACGAGCCGTCGCGGCAGCCGCGGCGCCGCGGAAGACGAGCGAGGCGCCCGGGGCGCTCTGCAGGCGCCCCGGGCGGCCCCCGCGAGGCAAACGCCGGCGCTGACACGCCGGCTCCGCGCTCCCCTCCCCTGCCCGCCGCTCCCGCCCGCCCGCCGCCGCTTCCGCTTCCCCTTCCCCTTCCCCTTCCCGCTCTCGTCTGGCGCCGCAAAAGGTGCAGCGCGCTTGTGAGGGAGAGGCGGCGCGGGCGGCGGGCGGGCGGGCGGCCAGACACGCGCGCGCACATGCACACACGCACACGCGTGCGCGCGCGCACCCCCTCGTCCCCGCCACCTAGATAAGTCTCCGGCGCTTCGGCGTCGCGGGTTGCAGCCGGCGCCGCGAGAGGGGCGAATGCGCTCCGCCGTCTCGGGGGCAACCGGTTGGGGGGCTGCCTGCTGCCCCTCCCAGGCGGCGCCTGGCGCACTCGGGGCTGCCCGCAAGAGTGACTTCGCGCGGTCTGGCGCCGGCAGGCGCCGGCTGTGGCTCGACCATGCTGGCGGAGAAGGGTCTGGGACTAATATACTCGGGTTTGTACCTCTGGGCATCCCTGTTCCTGTCCTTCCTAAAAGGTACGTTCTGGATTTTTCTGATGCGATGCTGATAGTCCTCCTGTGCTAATTTCCCTGGAGAGATGCGTCTAGAAACTTTTTCAGGAGCTGTCAGTTTTCCCTTACTGAAATCAAAGGGTTCATACTGAAGGTTGAAAGAGGGCTATAATGAAGGGCTGTTGTTTACAATCGAAAACCGATGCTGCCTTCTAACAGTTTTGGTCCTCAAGAGGGGCGGAGATGGGGGGCACACTGAAAAAAACCCCAACAATTGCAGGGAAAACGTGCGGAGCTTTGGGTTTTGTTTTTCTTGTCCTTGCAACTTTCTACGTGAAAAGAAATACCAACTATAGGAATGAGTGTCTGTGACAGGTAGAAATGTGGAGCCTTAGATTCCTAACGAAAAAGGACATGCTTTTCTAGATACGGCAAAATAAAGGTAGGAGAGCATTAGTGGATTGTTATATTGAAGCGTACATGTTTGTATGTGTGTTTGAATCTCTTTCTGCTTTTTTTTAAAAAAAATCATAAGTATCCTAAGCCAGAGAGATTTTGTTCAAAGTAAGAGTATTAACTAGAGAGAAGAAACCTGACTCACTCTGTAATCAGTACAGTACTGGATTTAATCTAATATATTCCTATCATGCCAATAGGTCTAGGCAGATATTGGTTTAACTTACTTAATGGATACAAATCTATTATATATGATTCATAAGAATGAATCTGTACTGAAATCCAAATATTTTTATTGCTACAATAAAGTATAAAACACACCTTGAAGAACAGGGGTGCAGTTCAGTACACATTGCAGGAAAATTGAAATCCAAACTGAGGGCTAAAAGATCTTATAACAATCATAAGATTCAGCAGACTATTGTAAAATTTTCAGGGGTTCCTAGATAATGATAAATAAAACTAAGTGTTGGTTCAACATAGAGGGGGAAAACTCAGTATCTGAAAAACTTGGTTTGACTTATCTGAAGATTTTTGTTTCCTATTTAGATCAGTTATAACCTCATTTAAGGGCCAGAAGTAACTCTCCCTTTCCTTCTCCCAGATCCTGCCTGACCTCTCCTTTGGTAAAATAAGGACAAGATTGGTCTAACTTACAGATTGCTGTGCAGAGAAAGGGCTGTACTTTCACTCTCCTCCTCTCCAAATTTGGTTGACAACTATTTTAATTGTAAACATGACAATGTAACATTTCCATTAAGTCGAGGATTTCACACACACAAGGAGTAAAAAGCAAGGGGAGGAAAAAGGCAGCCCTGACTGTTCAAGATTTCTCTTTCTTTTTCCTGGCAAACAAACAAACAAACAGTTAACATTATTTACCATGCTAATACAGGACAGTTACATTATTTGTTAAACAATTCAAATGGAAGCTGTGAATTGGATACCGTGTAACTTACAGTGCAGTCATCTACAAGTTTACTTAGAAGTGTGCACTGATTATTTCAACAGGATTGACACCCAGGCAAATGTGTACTGGAGCACAGCCCCGATTTCTTTGACCCTGGAAAGGCAATCTGGGTGCAGAAGCAGACTCTTGCATGCAGATTCCCTTATGGACTTCAGTAGTCTGAGCACCAAAGCGTGCTGCCAAAGTTGTTGCTGAACTCTGCAACTGGTGGCTGAAATTACTAGATCTGGAGTCATCCAGTAATTTCAGAGTTTGTTTGAAATGCCTGGACTCAGAACTGGGCTCAGATGGCTTGTTTGAGATTCCATTGCTCAGATGTTTGAAATCAGATTCAAAACTAATTTGGGCAGGGAAGGGGGATCCAAATATGCTTAGCAAGAGCATATTGAGGGAATGGTATAGGCTTTGATATGAATGATCAAAAGCATTTTCCAGGCACTGTATTGAATACGTAGACTGAGTGGGGTTGGATGCTTCTGCCTGCGTTTGAATGCCTCACAGATGACTTAAACCTTATATAAATACATAGTTCTCTTTCTGCCTGGTGAGGAACCTTGGAAAAGCAGAGTTCCTGGACACATAGGGGAAGCTGTAGGCATATCCTGCTGTTATGCATGTAGGATACACACTCCTGTTAAGTTGAAGTGGTGGAGGCTGGGAGAGGGAAAGACATGCGTAAGCCTATTTCTTCCCATCCATACATCCATAATAACATGTGAAAAGTGCTGAGCAATGGGATCATGGTGCTGGCAGCAGCTCACTCACTCTTCCCTTAGCGTTGTGCATCGAGCGCAAGGAGTGGCAAGCGTGGTTTCCTTTTGCTGGGTCAGGTCATGCATTGAAAAGATGGTTGTTTAAAATAGTCATTTTGACAACCCCAGTCACTTTTTAGTAGGGTGGTGGAGTGGGCTTTCTATCCCCCTAATTCTGGCAGCTTCAGTCAGCACATGTGAATGGTGCATTGCTGCTTAGAGGGATCTTGCAGACCTATAAAATCCGGGGAAACTCTGAGCTAGGATATGATCTCATCTCCAGTATAAAGAAGGTCCTCTCTGAGAAAAGCTCTGATATTCTGTTTTTTCCCCTCTGTCAGCAGGTTTCCTAACGTTCATTCTTGGTGCTTATGCAGTGCTTGTCTTAAAGAACTCACAGTACTTCATATACTTTCTCCCAGTAATCCCTGTGATTACTGATACTCTTGGTTGCTTGTGCTTGGCAATCATTTCTATTACATTTTCTGAGAAGAAACCCTTATTGTAATGGGGCATATCCTCAGATAAGTATGCACAGGATTGCATCTGGGAAAGCAAATAAGTACTTTTAACCTACCTTCTACTAAGTTGTTGTCTTCTGTAAGAAATGCCTGCTCAATCCCCTTTATTAGACTATGGGTGTCTGAAACATTTTGCATACCACCGCATCGTGCAAAACAGCATTTGGAGTCACACACAAGGCTGTTGTAAGCAATATTTGATCACATTTTAAAAAAAGACAAAGCTAATGCCTTCTAAATACTAAGAAAAAGAGAAAGCATGGAACAGATGCTATGTGAACTCTGTAAATGAAAACATTTTCTCCATGCTTTCCATCATCATTATTACAGTTTTCAGGAAAGGGATTTATTTTAAGTGCACTTAGAATATTAGACGAACTTAGTTATTCCTTTAATAGTAGCAAATATAATGCATCAACACCACCGGTCTTTAAACAATAACATTTAGCTGTGTGCATGTATAGTAGCTCTCATTCCAGATTTCATCCAGCGCATGAACTCACTGCATAATTTGGGGAAATCATGGTCTCCTGTTGCCCCATCCCCACCTGTAATTCAGGAATAACCATTTCAGCTTGCCTTCCTAAGTACATACACCATTTTAGCTCTGATAATACTATGCTTCAGGGCAATGAGAGACAAATATAGTGCAATCCTATGCAGATTTCCTCAGCAGTATATCCATCTGCATTCAGATAGGTGTGTGGAAGTATTCCATCTGAAAATCTGTAAAGCCTAAATTTTGGGCTGGGTTTCCAGATTCTGCTCATGTGGATCTCCTCCAGGCTGGTTCAGTGTTCTCTTGATACTGCCACATGCAGGTAACATAGGCTGTACCGGCTCCCAGAAGCTTCTTAGTAGCTTGCACAGTATACTGTAGTTTGGACTTATTTCCAACCCCTGCAAAGTCACCCAGGGGCCAGGAGAAAACACTTTTCTGTGCCCTACAGGCTGCAACCTATCCAAATGCCTTAATCGTTTCTGTGCATCATGCGCGGAATATTCAGGATTGCACAGAATGACGAGAACGCCAGTTGTGATGGCAGTTCTGAGATGTTGAATATATGGGGTAGTGTATGTGTATTACGCAGGCTTTAAGGGGATTAGACCCCCCCACCCCCAATCCTATTGTGGTTTGACTTCTCAGGATGGCAAAATCTGCAGAGTCCGACCAATGCAAGATCACAGCCTGTCCCGGAAGCTCCAGTCACTGCTGCACAACAGTGACGTCACTGTTGGTAGCCCAGGGACTCTAGTGGCTGGCAAGGGTCCTGTTTCAGGCACAGGCTGCCAGGGAGCTCTAGAATTATGTGGCAATCCAATTCCTAGTGTTTCAGCAGAACGGTTCTGGCTGCATTTCATCCATTCAAATTGATGGATGGTGGCAGCCTAAGAAGAAGCTGCAACAGGAGACAGAGGAGAGATCTTCCTTATCCATTCCTGTTTTGATGCACGTGCTGTTTCTGCTCTTCAGGAACAGCAGGGAGGACAGAACAACGCAGGAAGGCAAAGAAGAGGGGGATAGACAACAGATCCCGTGCTTCTGGCCCTGCATTCAATAAAATCGTCCGAGAGGGAACTATTTTCGTTTACCATTCCTACATGGCGCTTGTCTGGCTTGCTGCATGGATAGCCCTGTCATGAGGCAGAATTCAGCAGCCACACGGGGGTAAAGTTGGTTAGCTGGCTGGGCACTCAAAGAGGCAACTTATTCCCACAGTCACTAATCCATCATTCTGCTGCTTTTCTGGCATTCATTGAGCCAGCCTTCTCCTGGCTAGGGGTGATGGGAGTTGTAATCTGACATATCTGGAGGTTGCATTGGTCCAGATTGCAGTGGACCAATGGGAACTGTGGATTAATGATCGTCGAGGTGACATGAGGGTGGTTCCCCTCTTGGGAAATTTTACCCATGTTTAATTCTTTTCATACATAATACTCTATTTCATCCAGGTGTTTTGACGTGTTTTTCTTTCCTCTTTTTCTTTTGTCAGTGCAAGAGTCAGAGTCACTCTGACCACCTAATCCACCTTGTTGCTGCGATTAAAGGTCACAAGTGCCTTAGCTGTGAATTCTCAAAGAGAGAATTCACCCTCTGAAGTGACACAAAGCAGTTCCTGTATCCTCAAATCTGTGAGGGTTTCTACCCCTTTCTTGTCGCCTCTTCTAACCCTTTTTGGGGGAAGGAGGCATTGCAAATCCCAGCTAAGCTTGTCAGGCAAAATATGTCATTTGTCCAGACAAAGTATATAATTTACCTCCAAACTCCAGCTAAGGTTTTGGAGGTAAATTCTTCCCTACTCCTTCCACTCTTTTTCAAGGGCA